AGGTCGTCATCAGAGAACTTGCCATCCGGCCCACGCTTGAGCCTGAGGGTGATTTACGTTAGCGAAAGCTTAGTTGGAGAGTTGAACATGGTCTAAATACCCAAAAAAGGTTCTCTCGGCAGGATTAGGTGCTACATCGTCGAACACCTTTGAAATAGTAGCTAGGTCGCTCAAGTTCAACTGGACGGCGGAAGGTATCAGCGAATATAAAAATGTGACATCATGAGAGAAAGAGAACACGCCTGATCAAAGGGCTTGCCATCGAACGCCTTGTTGAAAATATCTTCCGTCCACTTCTGTTCAGGAGCAGCCAAGATGAAATGCCACTGAATACAACTTGAGCCGGAGGATTACGGTCAAGTCGAGTTATGGGCCCTACCCGGTACATGATGTTGAATTCGACGCTGACATGATTACCTCGCCCTCTTTCGACCTTCAGGTCCTTGTTGTCGATGATACCAAATGCATCCAAGGTCCAATTAGAGCCTTCTGACGCTCCGAGGAACCCACCAACATAGTCACTCATGATGGTACTCATGAACTGCCCACCACTTCATCGGGGAATCATAAGTATCTGGGAGAAAGATCACGGAAAGCAAAATAACGTACTTAACGAGTCGCGCAGTCTGGAAAATTTGTTCGTCTTGGAGGGCACGCTTGATCGGATCGGTTGGAGGAGGATCAGACCACAGTTTGCGTTCGTTGATCTTCAAGAGTCTCTCCGCAATGTACTACATAGTCTCTCAATTGTGAGTCGGTGTGAAGTAAGTTACGCTGAACTTACATTGTGATTGCGACTGAAGAGAACCAAGAGAACGCTCGTTGCAGGAGGTAAGAAGAGTAACCTCTCTTCGCTGAACGTATCCGGATACAACAGGCCCCGCCCACTAGCCTTATCTCTGACTTTATCCTGTGCAGCTTGGTCTAAAGCATATTTCAGCAAAGGTAATCACAGTGTTGAAGCAAGGAAACGTACTGTCGCCATAAAGCGGGCTTAAGTCGAGGTAAGAGCTTGCATTATTGATGTGAATGTTCTGGTGGTCTGTCCTGAACAACGAGTGTGTGACAATGGAGGCGAACGCAAAAATCATGGTGGAGAATCCCGCAGCATGGTTGACAATCTGTCAGTATGGTCATTATTTCATTCACCCAAAAAATTGAATGGCCGTAAGGGAACTGACACCTTTCCTCTTCAAGACACTGTCGAACACAAGGCCAGGGTCGGGGAGAGAAGAATACGGAAGCCCAGCCTTACCTTGGACACTTCTAGCGTAAGCGGTGCCCGCACGACCAGAGTTGGGATTCTCAAGGTTGTTGCCACCTCCGTCAGCCTGCCTATAACAGTAATCGGGTCCAAGGAAGGCCTCCGGTGGGTGTGGTATGGTGTTGTACAGCAACCCGATGGCGGAGTCGTTTAACTTCTTTGCAAGGCCGCTGCTGGGATCAAGCCGGGAAATAATACCAAGGCCAGTACCAAACTAACAAGAGCGTCAGCAATAATTCATTCACGTCTATACATGAACGTTGTGAGCTCACCGCTCCCTTCCGATCGTCGACATCAGCCGGATGAACTACTGTATCCAAGAAAGCATCCTATTGCTGTGTGAGTGAACTGATATGTTTAAAACGAGAAATGATGAACAGCTTACCACATCGCGGGGTTTTGGGACATATACGCCCTGTGACTTTGCGGATTCGACCTGGGGACAAGAGTAAGCGCACATCAGGTGGAGGATGACTTGTTAGTTGTACCTTGCTGACGAGATTGGTGACAATAGAATGGCCCTCTCGGTCGTCGGTAGGATCAGTGGTGATCTGCCAGTCGTAATAGCCGGTAGGCGCAGTTGGTGGCGAGCGTTTCTTGAGGTAGGTGAAGTCTGCACCCAGAGAGAGTGCTTGAGCTGCAGTGACTCCTGCCATATCTGTCAGGGATAGAGCTGGCGGATGAGAAGGGCACGAAACGCTGTCGACTTATTTAAAGGCCTCAATCTGGGGGTTTTGGGACTGTTTGAGTGACAAAGAGAGTGGCGTGTCGTAAATGTCTCCTGCTTGTGAATACAAGAGCTTGACAGAGTGAAGGGCGACATGGTATGAGGGTTCCATGACACTCCGGTGATACGCATCGCCGGAGAGTCGTGTTCATGGTTTAAGCCTCATTGAGGTCGAGAAGAGTCCCCAAGTACCTATGGCGTACTCCGACCGAGTCGGCATGTTATTAATTTCTCCTGCTTCTGAACAAAAAAAGGCATCATGATGTCGAAGATCGATGTGAGAGCGTTGAAGCAGGTCCTAACTCGAGTTATGGACGTTGAGATCGTCGGCTCTAGCACGGAGAAGAACGTGTATTAAGCACAGGTGTTTCTCGAGAGTTCGTCGACTTTCTCGCTGGAGAGTCGCGTTCATGAAGCCGCATTGAGGTCGAGAACCCCTATGGCGTCCTCGTGTTATCAATTCTCTCCGCTTCTGAACGACAGCAAACATGTTGAAGATCCTTGGTAGTTCGAGGGCGATAGTGGCACAGTGCCGCAAACAACGTCCCCGGATCCTGTGGTGTGAATAGATTACACTTAACAGGGCAAAAGGCGACGTGATATGTGGGTCCCATGATATACTGGTGAGATGCATCTCATTGAGGTCGAGAAGAACCCTACTTATGGCGTGCTCCGATCTGAGTCGGCATGTCGTCAATTTCTCCTGCTTTTGAACAAAAACAAGCGTCTGGATAGCGAGAATCGATGTGAGAATGTCGAAGCAGGTCCTACCAGAGTCGTGGACATTGAAATCGCCGACTCTAGCTCGGAGAAAACACGCATCTTAGCAAGAAGGGTATCAAGAACGAGTCGAGGATCGCATGGGGAGGGGTTATACTCCAGAAACACAACTGAGAGCGGTGCCTTAATCCACATCATTGTCGGGAGTGTCAATGTCGATTTATTCACATAGAAGAGTACCGTGGTGGAAGGGCCAAACGGTGGCGCCCCGGAGCCTGAGTTTTTTCGACTCCCTGTTTATCACCCAAACAACTGTTCTGGTGGCTTCTCAAGCTTCTAACAGCGATTTTGATTACGAACCTCACGAGTTCAGGCCATCATGTGGTGCTATGAAACGTCGTTTCCTCACAAGCCGTTCACATGACGAACAAGAGGTGAAATGGGCGTCAAGCGACAGGCTTCTGGACCAGATAGAACTATGAGCGGCATTGCCGCACTTCATTGAGCCTCGAGGTTTGGTAGCACATGAATGGAGGCCAGGATAATTAAAGATCGACTCCGAGGCACATGGCAGTGCACGAAAAGATTTGAGGTCCTCGACTTCGACTCTTGGGGTGCATATGGGAGGACGATCAGAGCAGAGCAGCTGCCCAAGAGAAACAACGCAATTCGGGGTTTCGCTGCATCAGTATATTGTGTTGAATTCAGGCTCAGGAGCCAGGGTGGGGCGGATGTGGTAGGGCCCAGAGGCCAGACGAGGTAGGGAGCCGTGAAGCTATTGTAATGCTAGATCAGGGCAATTCAGACGTACAGAGTGGTATTGGCTAACCTTTCCTGGAGTGTCTCACAGCGCACACGAGTTGAAATACCAAGTTTGACCTGAGGAAAATGTGGGCTTGAGGTTCTTCGGTATGGTCGGTGGCGGTCTGGTTAAGATGTGGTTCAAATGATATCCATAATAAAATTGGTGGTGGTCTCTCGATGAGTCGATACAGACCGATTCTGGAAGTTAGACGGGAAGGTGAGGATATGACACTGATGGTGAAGGTATCCGAGTCATGCTTACCTTCCACCAAGTCTGGCTTATGTAAGCAAGCGGCAGAGGTTTGATTCCCTCCAATCAGTGTAATTCATCTCACGATACACACGGTTCTTTTTAGGACTTCCAAACAGCATAATTCAGTGAGATAAAGGGAATAGAAGCAACGATGCAACATATATAACTAAAGTACTGCGGAATGCCCTGATCATGGGTCGAACCCTGGGCCTTACGCACAACGCCACCAACGCGTCATTCCGTCACTCCTCCATTCAGCACGGTAGCTAGCATATATTCCAACACGGCATATGTGGTAGAGTACTCCCGGAGACAATCGGATTGGGTGGGATGGATATGCACATTGGTCTGAATGTCTCTAGTAGTAGTACAGTCCCCAAGTAGCCACACTTGTCGGGCCACCTCTCGTCGTCCCCGCCCCACCCGATCCAATCCACCCATCTGCCTCGGGTGCCACGATCCTTCGAGTCTATTTTGAACATTGATGGCTTAGTACACATCACCCCCATCGTTGGCCTCATTTACTATATCGTGACCTGCTCGTCGAGCTCATCGCCACATCTTTCTCTAGGGCTGGCAAGGCGGAAGGAGCTCATGTATTGGGCAAAAAATATCGTTCGGACGCATGAAGCCCAGGGAGAAGGTGGTTTGTTCATGACGAAGGAGTAACAGGCTAAGGTTACTTCTGATTGCTTATTTTTCAATCGATTAGGGAAAGAAGGTCTAGTATCTGGGGCGTACCTGGGTATTCGTAGTAATTTGACACTTCTCCAAAAGAAGCGCCCCCCGGAAAACAAATCGCGCCAAGGGCAGTAGTCCTGAGGGTCATGCCAGCAAGAAACACAAGACAAGTGACTTCCAAGTCCTGAGAAAGTACTGAAGTCGGTCAGCCAAGTACAAGTCCATGTGTATGTGGTGTACCTGATAGGCCATGCAAGTATCCTCAAGGTAACCAGACTGGAATCGAGTCCTCTGAGTCGGAGCCCTACAATTACAAAAGAAATTCTCGAAAGATAAATCACCCGCCAAATGCCGAAGGTTGAGCAGGTGGAAGGTCGATGTTGAAGTTGAACAAGTTGATCCAATCAAGATCCAATACTGGACGATGAGATTATATCATGCAGCACTTGCTTTCCCGATGCCTTGTAATCATACAGAAAGCTGCGCGGGTGCATTTCTGACGAGCCAAGAAGGTCGCGAACAAAGATACCAGTGCCAGTGATGGTGAAAAATGATGAGAGGGGGATTCGAACCCCCGCCTCCGGAGAGACCAGATGATACGGACACCAAGTGTCCTGGTCGTTCCTTAGTCTGGCGCCTTGGACCGCTCGGCCATCTCACCGTTGAAAAGTACATCGGACGACACGTCACGAGATGCCTTCTCCCCCGAATCGATTGGGAATTAAGATAGTACCTCGAGCACGATGTCAGGATCGGCGGGCTTCTCGTGCTTGATACACTTAACGCGTGGCGCTCTGCATCTCATATCGTCCACGTCACTATACAAAAAATTAACGTTCAATTGACAACATACAAGTACGACTAGTAAAGCCCCATTGACACATACCCCTCAATACCCAAACCCCTCCCGTCTAACCCTCGCCTTATCCACGCCCAAATCCCCCAAAATCCCCAAAACTGCTTCCTCAAATGCCACCGGTCCACATAAATAGACCTCCTTCTCCCCTACATCACTGTCAAGCTCTATAAGCGCCCTGGCCACGCGCCCCCTGTGCTTCCGCAGTACCACCCCCTTCTCGTTCTTGAGATCCGGGACATCCTTTTCTGAGAACACGTCGAAGGCAAACGTACTCCCCGCATTGTGTTGGTGGGATAGCAGCGCCTCCTCGAGCAGCGGGAGCAGGACCTCGGGCTCGCGCGTAGAGAGGACGAGATGCACGTTATATTTGGCTTCAGGATCCAGGCCGCGGATCATAGCGACGAACGGCGTCACCCCAATCCCTCCCGCGAGCCACAGGAGCTTCTGCATCCCATACCTGGGGGTGGGAGGGAGGACAAACTCCCCACTCACGCCGACAAGCCCAACGGTCAACGCAAGCGGGCGCGCGTCCTCGAGAAGCGTGGGGCGCACAGCCTGCAACTTCCGTGCGATACTGAACAGGGCACCCGTCACCGCGCCCCCGGGCTTCTCGCGCATCGTAAGGGAGAACGACTCGGTGCTGGAGCGCGAGACGGTCCACGTGCGGACGCGGTCATCGTTCAATGACGCGGGGTTCGAGGGCGCCATGTGTTGGTATGCTTGGGCCCCGAGGAGGGGCGTGAAGTCCAGTATAGCCGCCTGGCCTGCTACGATGCTAAGTTTCTCTGAAGGTTCCCAGGTGAATGTGGCGAGTGTGCTGCTGTGCATCTCGATCCTCGTCAGGAGGGCAGTTGCACCCTCCTTCGTGGGTCCCAAACCGGATTCTTCCGCGAGGAGGCGGACGGGGGGGCTGTACGGGCTTGGGAGCGGTTCCGTGCCTGGGCGCTGGCGGATGGGGAGGGCATTGGCGACGAGGGTGTACCCAGTTACGTGGAGGGTGGTGAGGGCATTTTGGTTGTGGGTGGGCATGAGCTGGTGGGCGGAAGTACCTATGTGGTTCGTGGCAGTACCGGTGAGGTAGAGTATTGAGCTGGTTGTGAACGAGATGAAGGTGAGGGAAGCGAGGGGGTCGGCTTCGATGTTTCCTAGGGAGGTCATGAATCGATTACCTGGCGTAGTTGTTAGTAGCAGTTCAGAAAGGCAACATCGATACACACCTGAGAAGTCTGGCAGCACAACAGTCCTGCCATCGGAGGGCAAGACACGAATAAAGCCTTTACGTCCTCCGCGCTGGTTCATCCCAAGATGCGAAGGATATCGTGAAGCTTCTTCGGCGGGCGCTGTATATATTGTCCCGAGGAATACTGTATCCGATTCCAGGATGAAGGAAATGACGTCCTCGGGGAGGCGGTCGTTCTGTTCGAGGTTAAGGTTTTCGTAGCTGATAATGGGCAATGTATCTGGGTTGGGAACGAGATCTCGAATCGTAATATACTTTGGGCAGTTTCTAAGGGGGAAGTTAACTACGAGCGTGATAGGTGCCGCTCAACGAACATACCCTAATGCCTCGCTGACAGAAACATCGAAATGGATATTCTCCCCATTCTTTTCCAAACTAATCACCTTCCCTGCAAACTTGTTCCTCCTACGTGTCGAGTATTCGACGCCGATGCCCGCTACAAGTGTAGATTCGGACTCCGTGTAGCCTTCCAAATTTCGAAGTAGCGGTTCGCCTACCCAAAGCTTCGCATCCACCGATAAGACGTTGTATCGGTTGCGACTGACGAACCCCGGTTTCCCATCTCTGCCTGCAAGTACCGAGCCCCAGGGCCTGCCAGACGCATCCAGAGTCACAATAGGCAGGAATGGCAGCCGTGTGGTATAGAAAATCGCGTGTTCTTCTGGTAAGTCGCCACTGATGCCGTGATAAAGCGACATGATAGTGTAGTCTTCGGTATGCCCGAGCTTCTCGTGAATGCCCCGCTCGCCGCGATGCCAGCCATTGAGGCTCATACTCGCTGGAGGATATCTGAGCGTGAGTCAAGAAGGCCGTGGCGAGATCCGAACGCACCTTTATAGCTTTCCAGAAAAAACAAATGACTTCGATTCAGAAACAGGATCAGTCAGCTGTTGATTGATTCATCAGCCTTCGGTATATGACTAAACCATAAATCCCAAGGAATATGTAGAGGGACGGAGTGAGGAAGAGTGTTTTGAGCAGAGCAACTAAGGAGATGAGGGCCAACAAAAGAAATGCAACGTCAGGCAACGTCAGAAATCTCGTCATGTCGGATCGGATTTCGGATTTTCCATCACGAAGAACTGAATAGTCTACTCATCATCCAGGACGACGACCAGCTCTCTAACCAAAACAGTGAACAAAATGGGCAAGAGGAAGATCGATGCTTGTGTTGGCGATCGGAGCAATCCCTTGACATGTTTAGTACGTTGGATCTCGCCCTTTCCTCGAGTGTCAACATGGACCAACGTTACTACTGATACCATTATCCATGTCCTGTGATGTTTAAATCCATCTATCCGGCCAACCTTTTGCGACTCCCATAAGTAACTGGCCGACTGACGCGCGTGGGCCTTTATAGAGCGCTGTAGGACGGGAATGTGGAATATAGCATCAGTGCAAAATGCAAGTATGGGCAGTACCAGTGAAAGGCGTAAATGGGAGATAGGGAAGATAAGGAAGCAGGTGTGTCCACAGAATCCGGAAAGAACCAGAACAAATAACCAACTTGACGCGGCGAGAAGGCAACGGGTTGGTCAATTGAACTCAGTCCACCGTACATACTTGCCACGGCCAACAAAAATTGTCCATGACAATTGTTCGTAAATAAAGAACAAATGCCCAAGGTATGACATGATGTAAGATAACCATCGAGTTCAATCGTCGTACTGAGCCAAGGCAAGTTAACAAAGATTTCGAATCTATTGGTCAAACGACATACCGTCAAATGAAGCGAGCCTGGCCATAGACCAATGGTTCCATTGCGTTGGATAAAGATGTCAGTTTCTGTCTCTCGGCGTATCTCAGTGTATCCACGCAAAATCCCGGCATTTCCAGGAGCGCGGCGTACGTTCTTCAACGCGAATACGATCTTCAAGATTTCGGCCACAGTGATGACTGTAAACGGAACACCGGCACAGACATGGAAACCAGTACCGTTGAGGTTGCTATACACTGACGCAGGGCGACGTGGGTTCACGGTTGTAGGGTCAGGGAACTCCAAGGGCTAGGTTGAAATACTGTCTGTAAGCAACTAGAGAAGCGCGCGATCAAGAAGGAAGGGACCATACGTCAAGATGAGCGTTTCTCCAACTTCCCCAGATCCAGTCCCCGGCCTTGATATCCATTGGAGGAAGACCAGGCCCTTGGTATACCACCGCATCAACGACAGCCTTTCTCCAAAGTCCATTATACTGGGGCTTGAGGCCTAATTGCCATCCAACTCAGAAAGCTGATCAGAACGACGACTCTTGGGGCACCTACGCATAGCCTCGCTAACATAACCGCGTAACAAGGTGTCATTGTCAGGCCCTTTGCCATTGACCAGCTCGATTATGTGCTCTCTCTGCTTGGCCCTCGCATCGCTGAGATAGAAGTCGATCACGTTGGTCGCGGCATGAGCCCAAGTCACAGAAGAGCCGACGGCGACAGCGACGATGTTACCAATGAGTTCGTCAATAGGACGTCCTGTGGCCGCAAGCCTGCTGAGGAAAGGGAACCACGGCTCATTCTTCGGAGACCAGATGAGCGACGTAGCCGTCGAAGTGATTTTTCCAATGATGGTCTAGATAATCTTCGGATGAGTCGTGACTGGATTTTATCCTGTGTGTACTCACCGGAGACAAAGCGGGAGTGACTTGACTGATGGACCTGGCTAAGAGTGCTGCGATTTTGATTCCAGCTACTGCAGAGGCTTCGTGAAGGGCGAAGTTTGTCTCAGGCTCGTCAAATGCTAAGGAGGTGACACTATAGCTTTGTCATTAAACACAAGTGGTGATGAAATCAATTTGAATACTGTAACGTACGTGAACTAGGTGGAGGAATTAGCCCCTGATCAAAGATAGATATAAAGAGGAGAATCTCACCAGGGTGGCAAGCATCTCGAAAAACTCGTTTTCAGTGAAGACCCCACGAGGATTGTCCGTTGTTTTGAGCGAAATGCCCGTCTTGAAGAGGGGATGAGAAGAAGTCGTTGTGGGGAGAAGCAGATCCTTACAAGTTTGTCGGCAGCCCAATGTGCTGCGACACCATTGACTACGTCCTTGACAATATCCACATAGTTCCCAGTAACGTTCGTATACCTAGTATAAAATGAGATGATGCGATGAAACAAGGATATGGCACGATTTACGTACTTCCATGATTTCTCCTCGATCTTAGCCTTGATCGCAGCCGAGACCCACGCAGCGTATCGTGTCAACGAGTCCTTATCAGGGAAAAGACCATGAAGAATCAGCGCTCTGTCTGCATCGTGCCTATTAGAACATCAGCCACAAGAATTCGAAGATATTCGAGATGTCAATCGCACTGTTTGGGGTCATCGCACACGAGAGCCGAACCATACCCGACCTTCTCGTAGGCGACCTTGAAGCGCTGTGGGTCGTTCCAGACAGTCTTAATCCCCGTAAAGGTATTCAAGACCTTGGGAACGGGGAGCGGCGTGGGGTGGTCGAAGCTATACTTGGAGGTAGTGCCCTGCTTCGTGAGACTATCCTTCATCTTCTCCGGCGTGAAGAACGGATAAAGGGCATAAACAGAATTCTGGGTACGGGTCAACGGTGAG